CACACACACACACACACACAAATGAATTCATGATATCTTAAAGTGTAATAGACAGGATTAATAACAAATAGAGAGATTTTCAATTAAATTTTAAACACTTGTCCAAAGCAGATGTTTTGTCTTCTTTTTCTGACTCTTGGAATGGCCTGGGGCAGTGTAACCCCCGCAGGAAGGAGAGAAACACTGGGCGAAAGGATGTCTAGAGAGTTCTCTTTAATCTCTAGGTTGGACTCATATCACTTTCACTCTCAAGCAGCAAACCCTGGACTTTTAAGATTTCTCTAGCAGGAAATCCTCCAGACCTGTGGCCCACAGGATAGCTAGGAGCAGGTGCTATTCTCACTTCCATGGCAAGTATCAAAGGAAGGCCCCAGGGTCACTGAAGCAGGAATCAATACTTGTCTCCTAAGGTAGCTATTTGCTGATAAACTGTGGCTCTTTGTCCCATGTCTTTCCTTCAGATTTAAAAAAAAAAAAAGAAAAAGGGAGAAATGTGGGGTGATAATATTATGACTTTTTTAGGTGTTACATGGGTTTTGCCTTGATTGAGTTGCCCAGGATGACATCTGAGGTGATTCATTAATTACATTGTTCCATTTTATAAATTATTGTAATTTTCTTTAACATTGGTTTATAATACTATATATGATTCAGAAATACAGAACCCTCTCTTCAGATGTATGTTATCACACCACACACACCACCAAGGCATAAGGATTACCACAGTCCTTTGTACCCTCTCCTGCCCTCCCCCAACCTCTCCCTCTTTCAGCCTCAGTTTTACAGTCCCTTGTCTAGGGTTTGTCTTGGGTTTGGTGTTGTTGGACTCTTTGTTTTGTTTCTCTATATTCCATATATGAGTGACACCTTCTGATATTTGTCTGTCTCCATCTGACTTTACCCCCTCATAGTTCATCCATGTTGCTGCAAATAACAAGAGTTCATCTCTCTCTCTCTCTCTTTTTTAACTGAGGTGTGTTTCATCATGTGTCTGTACATCTTCCTAATCTATTCCTCTATCCTTGGGCACTTATGTTGTTTCCATAACTTGGCTGTTGTAAACACTGCTGCGTTGAACATAGGAGTGTATCTATCCCTTTAATTAGTGTTTTTAGTTGCAATGTTATCTGTTTTCTCTCAGATACAGCTTTCTTCTGGCTGGAGGAGGTGTCCTGGCGTTGGCAGCCATGGGCTCCTTTGCTGTGCTTGTCTTCATTCCTGCTCTGTGTGCCGTGGTTCTGATCTCCTCACTCGCCCCCCAGGATGTCCACAGGTGGACTTTCTTTGCTCAGATGAGTTGGCAGACACTATGTCACCTGCGTCTGCATTACACAGAGTATTATCTGCAAGAACCACCTTCCACAAGGTAAAGTAGCTTGTCCATTTGGGAGGGCAGAACCAACCAACGCTTACTGGCACTGAGTCTGTAATTGGGAGAACCTGCCTATTGAGTTTGAGTCTGAAGTTTTCCATATATGAATATTATCAAATTAAACAAGTCAATCAGTCTGTTTGACCTCATTCTGGAAAAAAAAAGTGTGAGGAAAGTAGATGGAGCAATAAATAGCAGCCTTGCAAGGCTTATGTTAGAGATTATGAATGTAAATGTACAGCTACTAGCACTAATAACATGTGTGCCTCGGTAGCCAGTATCTGACCTGCAGCTGTAATTATCAATGTACTTGAGAGGGGCTTCCACCACGACTCCCAGAGCCCCCAGGAGAGGTCTGCCTAGAGGTGACTAAGCACTGTTTGCATACTTCAGTGTGGGTGGTTTACTCACAAAGCCAGCAGCTTCCCCTCCTCTTCAGCAGAACAGAGAAAGGCTAACTACTGTAAACCTTCACTGTCCTCGCATGACAGCTGCTGCTTTAGACTTTTACTTTCACTGAGGCTCAGCTCTTCCAACCCCAAAGAGAAGGGTCCAGTCTAGGAGGAAAACAACCAGTGGAAGTGATGTTGTTTTTTGAGTTCGGGGTTCTTGAGTTCACTCTGAGAAAGGTTTCACCAGGGCTCCCCTCTCAGCGGCACATGTGAGATCCTTCCTGAGACAGAAACTCAGTTATATTTAAAGAGTAAGTTTATTAGAAAGAGACAGGAGAGGAAAAGACACTTGCATGGCAGCAAGTGGGCAGGAAGAGCTGCCCCAAAGGGACAGGCTTGCAGAGGGAGAGGCCTGCATAGTTGCAGGCAGACGGCCTAAGGAGAGAGCGGCCTCCGCTGGGGGAGGTCAACGCAGAGAAGTCCTGGCATGGTCACGGGCAGGCAAGGAGGCTGCTGCCCGCAGAGGGAGAGAGCGGGTGGAAAGAAGCACCTGCATTGTCACAGGTGGGCAGTGGAACAGCTGCCCCGTGCTGGTGGAGAGACTGCCCTGATACAGGCAGTTTCTCCTTGGGAGGGGCTCACTCCTTGTGAGCCTAGGTGGAACTTGAGAGGACCAGAGATTTCCTGATGAGCTTCGTCTCCATGTCCTTATCTTTTGCCTTTTGGTTCTGAGCTTCCAACACAGCCCCAACAGTCTGTTATCTGCTGGGACCTCTTGGAGACATCCAGACATCCGGCACATCCTGGACATGGGGCTTTGGTGCCTGAGGACCTTGATGTTATGGCTGTGTCAGTTGCTGCACTAGCCCCTTCTATCTGTCCCCTTTGTACAACTCAATCTTTTGATGCCTCCCCTGCATTCCTTCCTTCATCAGAAGCACCAAAACTAGGGTCAAGGGGTCCCTCTGTGATCTGGGTCTGTTATGGGTCTGTTGTAACAATTGGCAGGGGCTTGGCTCCCTCACAAAATAGGACTGTGACCTGTGGAGACAGGTCACCTGACTGTAGCCTACCACTTGTTTCTTCACTACTCCATCCCTGCCACACCCAGACCCTTTTTATCAAAGTCTTTAGGGCCTGAAGAAAAGGTAAGATGGCTGGTGGGTGGGGAGAGAGGTACTGCTTGGGATGCAGTGAATTAAGTTTTCTCTAGGAGGTCAGGAATAATAGGGACTGGAAGAGCCAGTTGAACAGGAACTGGCTAGATGGGAGGAAGGCCAGCCAGAGCTAAATATTGGTTTGCTCTGGTTCTCATAACAGAGTCCAGAGTCTTGAATTAAACAATAAATATTCATTCCCTCTGGAGGCTAGAAGTTTAGTTTAGGTGTTCAGCTGCCTCTGAGGCCTCGCTCATTTGGCTTGTAGATGGTTCTTTTCTCCCTGTGATTTCCTGTGTCTTCCCTCTGGGCTAGTCTGTGTCCTAATGTCTTCTTATAAGGACACCAGTTGCATTCCATCAAGATCCATGCTCATGACCTCTCTTGTTGTTGTTAAATATGTTGTTTTCTTTTTCTTGTTATTTTCATTATTGAATTATCAGTAACACTTGGCCAGTTAAAATTCTGTTAACAGGCCCTCCCTGGTGGCGCAGTGGGTTAAAGCACAGCACTGAGAATCTAAAGCCACTTCCTCATGAGTTCGATTCCCGCCTGCCCCGGAGGCGACCACATGGCGTGGCAGACCTCTCCTGACCCGCCCGCTGCTCCCCTCAGCAGTGTACTTCGTCAATCTGCCTGTTCTGCTCCCCGCTCTGTCTCTGGTGAATTCTCTCACCCTCCGCATCTCTGGCCTGTACCCCAGTTCTGTACAAATAAATAAATAAATCTTTAAAAAAAAAATTCTGTTAACAAGGAAAAATGAGTGCCCACCCTGGTGGCGCAATGGGTTAAAGTTTCAGTGTTATCAAACAATATCCAGCCATTGTAACCCTGTACGACAGGGAGGTGACCCACATGATACAGCAGACCTCTTCTGGCCCACCCGCTGCTCTCCTCAACAGTGTACTTCATCAATCGGCCTGTTCTGCTCCCCACTCTGTCTGTGGTGGCTCATTTCATTCCCTGCGCCTCTGGCCTGTACTCCAGTTCTTGCATGCATGCATAAATAAATCTTTAAAGAAAAGGAAAAATGAGATTACATATTGAAAAGACTAGTGATAAATTTGTGATTTGGGAAAAGGCAACACTGTTATTCAAATTATAACAAAATTCTTATATTGTACTAAATGTATGACTTTTACTATAAATGTAATATAGTCAGGAACATAAAAGCATTTTAACATTACTAACTTTATACTGAAATAAACATAATGGCCTCATTTTAATGCAATTACCTCTTTAAACACCCTATCTCCAAATTCAGTCAGATTCTGTGGAAACTGGGGTTAGCACTTCAACAGCAGTTTTTGAGGAGTGAGAAGGAGACATATTCACCCAATAGCAGAGGGTGAGTGAATAAAGGTGTTGGTGACACTAGGGAGGCCAAATTGCATACAATTAGGATAAATCAAAGCAGGGGTTCTCTTGACCTTAAATCCTCAGACACAGAAACAGTAGTGGCTAGAAACTAGGGCTTTTTGCTCTCCACAGATAGCATTCCTGATTGTGGAGTGTGTCCCTGTAAGTCTCATTAACTGTTCCCCACAATTATCTTCCAGTAGGATCTTCTAGAACACACCTCAAATTACTAATGACTCAGCACACACCCTACACCTCTAGCTTGACTCACCTTCTTCCCTAAGCACAAATCCAAGATCCAAGGCCTGCAGAATCTTTTTTTTTTTAATAAAGATTTATTTATTTGTGCATACAGAACTAGGGTACAAGCCAGAGGTGCAGGGGTGGTGAGAGGATTCACCAGAGACAGAGTGGGGAGCAGAACAGGCAGATCAACAAAGTACACTGCTGAGGGGAACAGTAGGCCAGTCAGGAGAGGTCTGCTGCGCCATGTAGGTCAGCTCCGTGGATCACCTCCAGGCAGGGATCGAACTTGCACCAAAGCTGCAGCGTCTAGCTTGCAGTGCTGAGTCCCAACCCATTGCGCCAACAGGGAGGGCCTGGCCTGCAGAATCTTCTAATCAGGGACTGGCTCACATTTAAAATGTAAAACTTCTTATAAAATTTCCACTACTAAATTTTTGTTTCTTTTATGGTCAGGTTTCCCCACATCACTGATCATCTTCTTTTAAGCCATTTTTAGATATATGTTAGTGTTTCCCACAATATTCATTGTCATCCTTTATTTGTCTCTCTGATGATTGATTAATTTTCCCATTTACCTTTTGATGCTGCCTGGAGTTGTCTGTGTTTCAGAATATATCCAAATGTCTTTGGGCAGACCTTAAGATTAGTCTTAATTGCTCAGAGACACCCATTTGTTATCTGTTCACGTGTGAGCGACTGGTATAGATAAAATAAATATATAGTGTTTTTACTTAAAAAAATCTCTTTCAGGTTCTGCATCACTCTCTCTGCCCTCATGCTCTTGACCCAGAGAATCACATCGCTCTCTCTGGACATTAGTGAGGGGAGAGTAGAGACAGCACCAGGAGGCAACAGGAGCAGAAGCTCTCTGTCTGAACATCTGTGTAAGACACTGTCCTATTTCAGCTACTTGCTCTTTTTCCCTGCTCTCCTAGGCGGGCCACTGTGTTCTTTCCAGACATTTCAAGCTCGTATTCAACGGTCCAGCAATTTGTGTCCCAGACACTTTTTCTGGGCTCTGACCTGGAGGGGTCTGCAGATTCTAGGGCTTGAGTGCCTAAAGGTGGCCCTGACTGGGGTGGTGAGTGCAGGAGTGGGCCTGACTGACTGCCAGCAACTGCAGTGTGTCTATGTCATGTGGTCCACAGCTGGGCTCTTCAAACTCACCTACTACTCCCACTGGCTTCTGGATGACTCCCTCTTCCTTGCGGCAGGCTTTGGATCTGAGTTTGGTCAGAGCCCTGGTGAGGAGGGGTATATCCCTGATGCCGACATTTGGACACTAGAAACAACACACAGGATATCTCAGTTCACCAGGAAGTGGAACCAAAGCACAGCTCGATGGCTCAGACGCCTCATATTCCAGCATGGGAAGGCCTGGCCCTTGTTGCAGACATTTGCTTTCTCTGCCTGGTGGCATGGGCTCCATCCCGGACAGGTGTTTGGTTTCCTCCTCTGGGCTGTGATGGTGGAATCTGACTACCTGATTCATGCCTTTGCCAATTTGCTTATCAAATCCTGGCCAATGAGGCTGCTCTATAAAACTCTCACCTGGATCCACACCCAACTCATTATTGCCTATATAATGCTGGCTGTGGAAGCCAGGAGCCTCTCCTCTCTCTTGCCACTCTGTAACTCATACAATAGTGTCTTCCCTATAATATATTGTATTTTACTTTTCCTATTAGCAAAGAGGAAGCTCAAATGTAACTGACATCATTCCTGGCTTTCATCTTATACATCAGTGAAACAGAGTTTAGAAAGTGCCACATGGTGCATTGACGATGCATGTTTGAATTTTTCCATAATAACTTTTTTCTATTAAGTATTGAATGCATATACCTGAAGACTTTCTGTAGAAATTTGTGTATCTACCTTAGCAAGTTATTGCATTAGTACTAAGGATCCCAAAATGGAAGGGACATGGTAACTCCCCTTAGGGTTTACAGTTTATATGTAGAAACAATGTTTAATTAAAATTATATGAAAAACATGTATGTGAAAACATGAAATTGTATGTAAAAACATAAGGTACTATAAGCCAAATAGCAAATACAGGGACTTCCAAAACTTGAGTGTCCTATTGGTCCATTTCATTCTGGAATGTGAATTAAGCAAGAAAAAACCAAAACCAAAACCTAAATCATAATATAACACTGGACTTATCTCCATCCACAAATAATTAGAAGAATTCTGTTTAAGGATGGAAACATTGCTACCATATTCAGAAAATATGTGAATAAACTGAGAATCCAGCTAGGATTGATAACCACTTGAATATAAAATTGACTCATGAAAAACATCACACAAGGAGACTGATAACAAGAAGTAAACACTGTATTAATGCAACATTGAAGGGTCGTTTCCTTTGCCTTGGCATACCCTAGATAGATTAAAATACACCAAGAGGAAGATGTTAGGACCTCCGATTGCATTGAGGCGGTGGCATTGAACTGGCTTTCCCAGTTGATAAGTTTAAACTTCCAAATTAAGCTGAGTCCTGGGCTGGCACCTCATAAGCTCCTACCACAGCACAGCAGCCCCAATCAGCACCCAAACCACCTGCAGAGAACAGGTTGTATCCAGCACTCGCTAAACAAGAGTCTGCTAAGTGAGCAAAAAGAAACCACAAGGTAAAAAGAACTGAAGTATAAAAGCTTGATTCTAGCTCCTGTCACTTTGTAGACAATCACTGACTTCTGCAGAGTCAGCGTGGCTTCTGCCCTTTCCTCCTGTGGTAAGCACTCTCAATGAACTTCACTTTATCTCTTACTTCTCAGTATCTAGATTCTTCCACTCCCTGTGCCCAGCTCACCCTAGACTCTGCACCCCACCTCATCAGTGATGTCACCTGTACAGGCCATCTATACATCTATACTGTCATATCTTTACATCAACTTTGATTCAACTTATGATTACACTTATCCTCTATTTTAAAAACAGAGTGGTGAGGACCCTTCCTAGTTGTGCACGGGTTAAAGTGTAGCACTATGAAACTTCAGCACAAGTTCGATCCCCAGTCAGGGAGGTGACCCACATGGTAGAGCAGACTTCTCCTGACCTGCCCTCTGCTCCCCTCAGCAGTGTACTTTGTCAGTCGGCCCTTTCTGCTCCCCATTCTGTTTTTGGTGAATTCTCTCACCACCCCCTGCACCTCTGACCTGTACCCCAGTTCTCTATGCATAAATAAATGAATCTTAAAAAAAAATCAGAATGATGAAAATTTGGTTCAGAGTACTATTTTATTTCAGGACTCACTAAAATAAACCCATACTTGTTTAAGAGGAAACATGCTTATTTATATACAGCTGAAAATCATCTGCTTCCTCTGGATTACATCTACCCCACCAAACACCAAAAGAAGCACGGAACAAGCATCCAAGCATCTGAAGCCAGTCATTTTCATCCTCTTCAAAATACAAAATTGCAAATATGATCATAATTTGTAAAGTCTGCCAAAAATAACATCAAGTGAGAAATTATAGCTCACATAGATATTAGCATGCAGGCAAACAAGTAGTCCAGTCTAAGCACACAACCAGAAGCAAGGACCATGCTCAACAGAAAGTATGAATTTGTAGTGACCTTAGCAGCCTGTTCTGTAGTTTCTCTCCCCACATTCAGTCACCTAAAGGAGACAATCAGCATTGGGGACAGTCAGGGAGAAAACAGAAAGAAGTCCAGTTGTTGTTAAAGGATTCAAAGGATTCTGAATGTCAAACATGTCATTCAGTTGAAAATCCTGATAATGCTAACTAACTGGGGTGGTATTTGATGGTATTATAAAGGTAGGATAAAATGTAAAGTAATAATCATTATTGTGGTATAAAAAGTTCAGCCTTAGAGAATAGCACACAAGTTAAAATTATACTGGACTGTTACAGAACTAGTAAAAATGGATGTTTTTTACAGAGTCATTTCTAGGGAGCTGGCTACAAGGATGAATGTGTGTAGTTGTGAAAATTCAACAAATATACTTATGATGTGTGTAAGTTTCAGTATAGATTTTAAATTTCAATTCTTTTTGTAAATGCTTTAAAGATTAAGGAAATACTTATGAGAAGAATTAATTTTAAAAAGAAGTTGGTCAAATAAAGTTTTGGAATGTACAACTGACTGGGCTTCCAAATCTATCTGTTAATGAGTATTTTTCTGCTCCTCTGTGGGTTGAATCAGGATATCTGCTTCCTTCCCTTTCTATTTGCTATTAGGAAGGATTTCATTTAGTTGGCAAGTATAAAGAACAAGGTGATTTGGAGGAATTAATCTAAGGAATAAAGTCAGAGTCTGGGGAGCCATCACCCTGATCAGAGAAGGTTCTGGGACCAGGAGGGTTGGAAACAGAGAGAATATCTTCTAGGACTTGTTACTTTTGCTAGGGCTCAACTCTTTCAGTTCCCCACCCTTGCTGTTATTCTGGCTTTCAACAGAAGCTAGTTAGTTTCTCTTCCCTTCAGTTTCCAGTTCCTTCACTCAAGGACCCTGATTTTCTACCAGATTCCCTTTTGACTCATGACTGGTAGAACCTGCTTATTGACCTCTCTTATTATTAATATCATGACTTTGACCTTGCGTCTAGAACTATATTTGATATTTTCCTTGCTTAATCTAGAAGTGACCCCCAAGTCACTCCTGATTTCCATCCTGTTCTGGTCTGTTTATTGGCCCAAGCAAAATGGTATTTTGCTAACTCATGGTTATCCTTTATAAATGCAAGGTAGGGACTAACAGTCCCTGTCCTCTGGATAGTGAATTCTATTCTAGCACAAGGGAATGGGAAAGTGCCCTCACACACTCCTCCAGAGGAGCACAGCTGTATTTCTGCCATCCCACACTCCAGCTGGGCCTATTGCATTATTTCAAGGACCAGATAAGGTCTGGTGGCCTGGGAGGCCTGAGAAGAGTCTTTTAACCAGTTTCCAAAGCGGGAGAGAAGGGTTAGTTACAGTTAGTCCCCAAACTGGAAGGATGATCGCTACAAAGTATATATAATTAAAAGTGACACTTCTCCACTCAGAAAGGAAAAAAAACCTTAAAAACCTCAACACTGGGGGGCAAATACTAGAGCCTAGAGACCCATGGAAACATCTTAACTCCTGTCCTTCTACCTTTTGTTAATGAAGTTACTCTGAAAGTTTTGGTAGAGTTCCTGATGAACACCCAGGGGATCTTATACAGTTGTTTGAAAGTATTATTGTGTGGATTCTGATGATTTAGCAATACCTGAAAAACTTGAAATCCCCGGGAAGATTATTTAACAAAAAGCCTCAAGATTTGCCTTCCTCAGCAGACTATAGATGTCAATGTCTATTGATATGGAATTGATATAAAAATGGGTATTGATATGGACTTGTTAATAAATATTCCATGAAATATTTATTCTTACATAAATAAACTAGGCTCACAGGGAGTCTTTCCCCCTAACATAAATGCAACTACTCTCTCCTGCCAGTGTTCTGAATCTGTTAACAGCTGCCATGACCAGCAGCCAGTGGCTCTAAAGGGACTCCCCAGGTTTAATAACCGACCCTCACGGCTAAGCTTTCCCTAAGAAGACAGTCCAATCTATTTTTTTTAAAAATATTTATTTATTCATACAGAACTGGGGTACAGGCCAGAGATGCAGACGGTGGGAGAGCCACCAGAGACAGAGTGGGGAACAGAACAGACAGACTGTCGAAGTACACTGCTGAGGGGAGCAGCAGGCGGGTCAGGAGAGGTCTGCTGCACCATGTGGTCACCTCCGGGGCAGGTGGGTATCGAACTCATGCGGAAGTGGCTTAAGCTTCTTAGTGCTGTGCTTTAACCTACTGCACCACCAGGGAGGGCCCCAATCTATCTATCTATATATATTTTTTGATGCCTTAGTTATTTTTTTTTTAAACGCAGATCAGAGACACTTAACTTACACACATCCAGATTGTTGATTCATCAGTTCCCTGAGAACATGGAAAAAGAAATTCAGACGGAAAGCTTTGGCAAGCATTAGATCTTTCAAAAAAGAAAAGTGTCAAGAGAGCGAAGTTCTACCTTTGCCTAAAGGATGCTACTCAGCCCATATGACCAACCTCTTGTAGGCAGGCAATGAGCTCTCTCTGTTGACCGAGGGGAGGGGCCCTGGAAGTCAGCCTGCCAAACCTGTTTGATATGGAAAGAGTCAAACAATTGCATCAATTGCATGCTGATTGGTGAAGCAGGCTTCATGAATGTAAAAGAACAAATCTGACCAGAGATCTCAGGAGCACTGTAAAATCGATAGATTATGGTCACAGCACTAGCCAATGAACGGCGATCTTTAGTAATTATCCTGATTAAACTGCCAACTCTCTTCCGGACTCTGGCTCTATATCTTCTCAGGGGTCAGCACTGAGAGGTGAAGGGATAGTGATTTTTTAAAAGATTTATTTATGTATAAAAAACTGGGTACAGGCCAGTGGAGGTGCAGGAGGTGAGAGGATTCACCAGAAACAGAATGCGGAACAGAACAGGCAGAACAAATGAAATACACCGCTGAGGGGAGAAGCAGGTGAGCCTGGAGAGGTCTGCCATCTCCCTGGTTCAGGATAGGGGATGGAACTTGAACTTGTGTTGTGGTGGTAGAGGTGGTGTCTGTGGCAGCGGCAGCTGCCCTGGCGGATAGCTTCATAGTGCTGTGCTTTAACCCCTTGCGCCACCAGGAAAGACCAGTGATTATGTTTTATGTAAACTTTCTCA